AGCTGACAGCAGCTGAAGAAGCAGCGAAGCAGCCGAAGAAGCAGCTGCTGTGCCAGCAGAGCACAGCGATGCAGCACCAGCTGCAAACAGCGCTGTGCTGTGCCAGCGAGCCAGCTGGCCAGCTGTGCAAGCTGTGCCAGCCAGCGCAGCTGTGCCAGCGTGCCAGCAGCTGCTGGCCGTGCCAGCGAGCCAGCCGCTGTGCCAGCCAGCTGCCAGCTGTGCAGAAAAGCAGTTGTGCTGCCAGCAAGCAGTGAGAAAGTTGTGCAAGAAGCAGATGAGCAGCAGCCAGCCAGCCAGCCAGCCAGCCAGCAGCCAGCCAACCACACCAACCAGCCAGCAGCGAGCCAGCCAGCCAGCCAGCCAGCCAGCCAGCCAGCCAGCCAGCCAGCGCCAGCCAGCCAGCCAGCCAGGCCAGCCAGCCAGCCAGCCTGCCAGCCAGCCAGCCGTGCCAGCCAGCCAGCTGTGCCAGCACAGCCAGGCTCAGCCAGCCAGGCCAGCCAGCCAGCCAGCCAGGCCAGCCAGCCAGCCAAGCCAGCCTGTGCCAGCCAGCCAGCCAGCCAGCCAGCCAGCCAGCCAGCCAGCCAGCCAGCCAGCAGGCAAGCCAGCCAGCCAGCCAGCCAGCGTGCCAGCCAGCCAGCCAGCCAGCCAGCCAGCCAGCCAGCCAGCTGTGCCGTGCGACAGCTGTGCGTGCTGTGCCAGCAGCCAGCTGTGCTGTGCCAGCTGTGCAGCTGTGCACAGCTCCAGCTGTGCTGAGCCGTGCCAAAGAACAGTGCAAGAAGCAGCGCCAGCCAGCTGTGCTACAGCTAGCCAGCCAGCACAGCCAGCAGCGCCGTGCCAGCCAGCCCAGCCAGCCAGCCAGCCAGCCAGCCAGCCAGCCAGCCAGCCAGCGTGCCAGCCAGCCAGCCAGCCAGCCAGCCAGCCAGCGCGAGCCAGCCAGCCAGCCAGCCAGCCAGCTGAGCCAGCCAGCCGTGCCAGCTGAGCCAGCCAGGCTGTGCCAGCCAGCTGTGCCAGCAGCCAGCTGTGCCAGCGCTGCCAGCAGCTGAGCCAGCCAGCCAGCCAGCAGGCGTCTTGCCAGCCAGCCAGCCAGCTGAAGAAGAGAGGGCAGCCAGCGAAGCAGCCAGCAGCTGAGCAGAGCCAGCAGAGCCAGCCAGCGAAGACCAGCAAAAAGACAAAGCAGCCAGCAGCTGTGCCAGCGCCAGCAAGCCAGCCAGCCAGCAGCCAGCAAAGCCAGCCAGCAAAGCCAGCCAGCCAGCAAGCAAAGCAGCCAGCCAAAGAAGACAGAAGAGCAGCAAGCAGCAGAAGCAAGCAAGAAGAAGAAGCAGCGAAGCAGAAGCAGCAGCTGAAGAAGCAGAAAGCAGAGCAAGAAGAAGCAAGAAGAAGCAGAAGAAGAAGAAGCAGAAGAAGCAGCGAAGAAGAAGCAGAAGAGCAAAGAAGAGCTAAGGAGCAGGGAGCAAGAAGCAGCAGAGCAAGCTGAAGAAGGCAGAAAGCAAAGCAAGGCAAGCAAAGCAACAAGCAAGGAAAGAAAGAAAGCAGCTGAAGCAGCCAGCAGCCAGCCAGCCAGCCAGCCAGCCAGCCGTGCCAGCCAGCCAGCCAGCCAGCCAGCCAGCCAGCCAGCCAGCCAGCCAGCAGCCAGCCAGCCAGCCAGCCAGCCAGCCAGCCAGCCAGACAGCCTGCCAGCCAGCAGCCAGCCAGCTGAAACAGCCAGCCGCCAGCCAGCCAGCCAGCCAGCCAGCCAGCCAGCCAGCCAGCGAGCTGCCAGCAGCAGCAGCCAGCAGCCAGCCAGCCACAGCCAGCCAGCCAGCCTGCCAGCCAGCAGCCAGCGAAGAACAGAACAGCTGAAGCCAGAGCAAGCCAGCCAGCAAAGCAGCGAAGAAGCAGCGAAGCAGCCAGCCAGCCAGCTAAAGCCAGCCAGCCAGCCAGCCAGCCAGCCAGCCAGCCAGCCAAAGCCAGCTGCAGCCAGCAGCTGCGTGCGCGTGCCAGCGCCACGAGAAGCCAAAACTGCCAGCCAGCAGCCAGAGCCAGCAGCTGGCAGCCAGCGCCAGCAGCAGCTGCCAGCAGCAGCAGCAGCAGCCAGCAGCAGCCAGCTGCCAGCCAGCCAGCAGCAGCAGCCAGCAAGCAGCAGCAGCAGCTGCAGCAGCAGCCAGCAGCAGCAGCAGCAGCAGCCAGCAGCCAGCCAGCCAGCCAAGAAGAAGACCAGCCAGCCAGCCAACCAGCCAGCCAGCCAGCCAGCCAGCCAGCCAGCCAGCCAGCCAGCCAGCCAGCCAGCCAGCCAGCCAGCCAGCCAGCCAGCCAGCCAGCCAGCCAGCCAGCCAGCCAGCCAGCCAGCCAGCCACAGCCAGCCAGCCAGCCAGCCAGCCAGCCAGCCAGCCAGCCAGCCAGCCAGCCAGCCAGCCAGCCAGCCAGCCAGCCAGCCAGCCAGCCAGCCAGCCAGCCAGCCAGCAGCCAGCCAGCCAGCCAGCCAGCCAGAAGAAGAAGCAGCGAAGCAGTGAGGCCGAAGCCAGCAGCCAGGCAGCCAGCCAGCCAGCCAGCCAGCCAGCCAGCCAGCCTGTGCCAGCCAGCCAGCCAGCCAGCTGCCAGCCAGCCAGCCAGCCAGCCAGCCAGCAGCCAGCCAGCCAGCCAGCCAGCCAGCCAGCCAGCAGCAGCAGCAGCAGCCAGCCAGCAGCAGCAGCAGCTGCCAGCAGCAGCCAGCAGCTGAGCCAGCAGCCAGCCAGCCAGCCAGCCAGCCAGCAGCCAGCAGCCAGCCAGCAGCCAGCCAGCCAGCCAGCCAGCTAGCCAGCCAGCCAGCCAGCCAGCAGCCAGCCAGCCAGCCAGCCAGCCAGCAGCAGCCAGCCGTGCAGCCAGCAGCCAGCCAGCAGGCCAGCAGCGCACAGCCAGCCAGCGCCAGCCAGCCAGCCAGCCAGCCAGCCAGCCAGCCAGCCAGCCAGCCACGCCAGCTGTGCCAGCCAGCCAGCCAGCGCAGCCAGCCAGCCAGCCAGCCAGCCAGCCAGCCAGCCAGCCACAGCCACCAGCCAAGCGCGCCGAGCCAGCCAGCCAGCGTGTGCCGAGCCAGCCAGCCAGCCAGCCAGCCACAGCCAGTGCCGTGCGCTGTGCTGGCCAGCTGAGCCAAAGAAGCAGCAGCAGCGAGCCAGCAGTGCCAGCACGCAGAGCCAGCAAAGCAGCCAGCCAGCCAGCAACAGCCAGCAAAGCAGCAGCCAGCGAGCCAGCAGCCAGCCAGCCAGCCAGCCAGCCAGCCAGCCAGCCAGCCAGCCAGCCAGCCAGCCAGCCAGCCAGCCAGCCAGCCAGCCAGCCAGCCAGCCAGCCAGCCAGTGCCAGCCAGCCAGCCAGCCAGCCAGCCAGCCAGCCAGCCAGCCCGCCAGCAGCCAGCTAGCTGTGCCAGCTGGTGCTGTGCCAGCTGTGCCCTGTGCAGCGTGCAGGCTCTGTTCTGTGCCTGCTGGCCAGCAAAAACAAAGCAGGCCAGCAGCAGCGAGCCAGCTGTGCCAGCCAGCAAAGCAGCTAAAGCCAGCTGTGCCAGCCAGCAGTTGTGCCAGCGATGTGCCAGCCAGCAGAAGCCAGCCAGCCAGAGTGCCAGCAGCCAGGTCCCACAACAGCAGCTGAGCCAGCCAGCCAGCCAGCCAGCCAGCCAGCAGCAGCCAGCCACAGCCAGCCAGCCCAGCCAGCCAGCCAGCCAGCAGCAAGCAGCAGCAGCCAGCCAGCAGAGCAGCAGCGAAGCAGCCAGCAGCCAGCAGCAGCCAGCAGCGCCAGCAGCAGCAGCAGCAGCAGCAGAAGCAGCCAGCAGCAGCACAGCCAGCCAGCCAGCAGCCAGCCAGCAGCCAGCCAGCAGCCAGCCAGCCAGCCAGCCAGCCAGCAGCCAACCAGCAGCAGCAGCCAGCAGCAGCAAGCAGCTAAAGAAGCAGCAAGCAGCCAGCGCCAGCCAGCCAGCGCCAGCAGCCAGCCAGCCAGCAGCCAGCCAGCCAGCCAGCCAGCCAGCCAGCCAGCCCCACCAGCGCCAGCCAGCCAGCCAGCCAGAGCAGCCAGCCAGCCAGCCAGCACAGCCAGCCAGCCAGCCAGCCAGCCATGGCCAGCCAGCCAGCAGAGCCAGCCAGCCAGCCAGCCAGCCAGCCAGCCAGCCAGCGAGCCAGCCAGCCAGCCAGCTGAGCCAGAACCAGCCAGCGAGCAGCGCCAGCTAAGCAGCCAGCCCAGCCAGCTGTGCCAGCTGTGCCAGCTGTGCCAGCCAAGCAGCAGCCAGCCAGCCAGCCAGCCAGCGCGCCAGCAGCCAGCAGCAGCGCCAGCCAGCCAGCAGCTGCCAGCAGCAGCCAGCAGCAGCCAGCAGCCAGCCAGCCAGCCAGCCAGCCAGCACAGCCAGCCAGCCAGCCAGCCAGCTGCCAGCCAGCCAGCCAGCAGCCAGCCAGCTGAGCCAGCCAGCCAGCCAGCGAAGCAGCCAGCCAGCCAGCGCCAGCCAGCGAGCTGCCAGCCAGCCAGCCAGCCAGCTGCCAGCCAGCAGCAGCCAGCCAGCCAGCCAGCCAGCCAGCCAGCCAGCCAGCCAGCCAGCAAGAAGCAGCAAGCAGCCAGCCAGCCAGCCAGCCAGCGTGCCAGCCAGCCAGCCAGCAGTGAGCCAGCCAGCTGAGCAGCCAGCCAGCAGCCAGCCAGCCAGCCAGCCAGCCAGCTGAGCCAGCCAGCAGCCAGCCAGCTGTGCGCCAGCCAGCCAGCGTTGGGCCAGCCAGCGAGCCAGCAGCAGCAGCTGTGCCAGCTAGCTGTGCCAGCAGCTGTGCTGTGCTGTGCCAGCAGCCAGCTGTGCCAGCAGCCAGCCAGCCAGCAGCAGCAGCGAAGCAGCCAGCCAGCACAGCCAGCTGAGCCAGCAACAGCTAGCAGCCAGCGCAGCCAGCCGACAGCCAGCCAGCGTGCAGCAGAAGCCAGCAAGCAGCACAGCAGCGAAGCAGCCAGAGAGCAGCAAGCCAGCCAGCCAGAACGAAGAACAGCCAGCCAGCCAGCAAGCAACAGCAGCAGCAGCAGCCAGCAGCAAGCAGCAGCAGCGCCAGCAGCAGCAGCAGCAGCCAGCAGCCAGCCAGCCAGCCAGCCAGCCAGCCAGCTGCCAGCCAGCCAGCCAGCAGCAGCAAGCAGCAGCAGCAGCAGCAGCAGCCAGCCAGCAGCCAGCAGCAGCCAGCAGCCAGCCAGCAGCCAGCCAGAGCCAGCCAGCGAAGCAGCCAGCCAGCCACAGCAGCCAGCCAGCCAGCCAGCCAGCCAGCCAGCCAGCCAGCTGTGCCAGGCCAGCCAGCCAGCCAGCAAGCCAGCCAGGCCAGCCAGCAAAGAGCGAAGGCGAAGCAGCGAAGCAGAGCCAGCCAGCCAGCCAGCCAAGCCGAGCCAGCCAGCCAACCAGCCAGCCAGCCAGCCCAGAGCCAGCTGAGCGCAGCCAGCAGGCGTGCTGGCTGCTGAGCCACAGCCAGCTGAGCCAGCCAGCCAGCTGAGCCAGCCAGCAGAAGCGAAGAAGCAGGGCAAGAAGAAGCAGCGAGCCAGCCAGCCAGCCAGCCAGCCAAGCCAGCCAGCTGTGCTGTGCTGTGCCAGCTGAGCCAGCCAGCAGTGCCAGCCAGCAAGCCAGCCAGCCAGCCAGCCAGCCAGCCAGCCAGCCAGCCGAGCCAGCCAGCCAGCCAGCCAGCCAGCCAGCCAGCCAGCCAGCCAGCCAGCCAGCCAGCCAGCTGAAACAGCCAGCCAGCTGAGCCAGGCCAGCGGCCAGCCAGCCAGCTGAGCCAGCCAGCCAGAAAGAAGCAAACAGCCAGCCAGCCACAGCCAGCCAGCCAGCCAGCCAGCAGTGCCAGCCAGCTGCTGAAAGAAGACAGCAAGAGCCAGATGCCAGCCAGCCAGCCAGCCAGCCAGCCAGCCAGCCAGCCAGCCAGCAGCCAGCAAATTGCGCCAGCCAGCCAGCCAGCCAGCCAGCCAGCCAGCCAGCCAGCCAGCCAGCACAGCCAGCCAGCAGCCAGCCAGCCAGCCAGCTTGCCAGCCAGCCAGCCAGCCAGCTGAAGCACACAGCCAGCAGCAGCCAGCCAGCAGCAGCAGCCAGCCAGCAGCCAGCCAGCCAGCCAGCCAGCCAGCAGCCAGCCAGCCAGCCAGCCAGCCAGCTGTGCCAGCCAGCAGCAGCAGCAGCAGCCAGCCAGCCAGCAGCCAGCCAGCCAGCCAGCTGCCAGCCAGCCAGCACAGCGCCAGCCAGCCAGCCAGCCAGCCAGCAAGCAGCAGCGAAGCAGCAGCCAGCCAGAAGCAGCAGCCAGCCAGCACAGCAAGAGCAGGGCCAGCCAGCCAGCCAGCCAGCCAGCCAGCCAGCCAGCCAGCCAGCACAGCAGCAGCCAGCCAGCCAGCCAGCCAGCCAGCCAGCCAAGAAGAAGAAGAACCAGCCAAGCAGCCAGCGAGCCAGCCAGCCAGCCAGCCAGCCAGCCAGCAGCCAGCCAGCCAGAGAAGCAGCGCCAGCAGCAGCGAAGCAGCCAGCCAAGCAGCACAGCCAGCCAGCCAGCAGCACCAGCCAGCAGCCAGCCAGCCAAGCCAGCCAGCCAGCCACCAGCCAGCCAGCGCAGCACAGCCAACCAGCCAACCAGCCAGCCAGCCAGCCGCCAGCCAGCCAGCCAGCTGTGCTGAGCAGCTGAGCCAGGCCAGCCAGCCAGCCAGCCAGCCAGCAGCAGCGCAGCCAGCCAGCCAGCGCCAGCCAGCCAGCCAGCTGGCCAGCCAGCCAGCCAGCCAGCCAGCCAGCCAGCCAGCAGAGCCAGCCAGCCAGCCAGCCAGCCAGGCCAGCCAGCCAGCCAGCCAGCCAGCCAGCCAGCCAGCCAGCCAGCCAGCCAGCGAGCCAGCCAGCCAGCCAGCCAGCCAGGCCAGCCAGCCAGCCAGCCAGCCAGCCACAGCTGAGCCAGCCAGCAGCCAGCAGCAGCAGCAGCAGCCAGCCAGCAGCACAGCGAAGCAGCAGCGAAGCAGCCAGCACAGCAGCAAAGCAGCAGCAAGCCAGCCAGCGGCCAGCCAGCTGTTGAGCCAGCCAGCCAGCCAGCCAGCCAGCCAGCGCCAGCCAGCCAGCCAGCCAGCCAGCCAGCCAGGCAACAGCCAGCCACAGCCAGCCAGCCAGCCAGCCAGCCAGCGAGCCAGCAGCGCCAGCCAGCCAGCCAGCTGAGCCAGCTGAGCCAGGCTCAGCCAGCCTGGCCAGCCGCCAGCAGCTGTGCAGTGCCAGCGAGCGAAGAGCTGAGCCAGCGAGCCAGCCAGCTCAGCAGCCAGAGCCAGCAGAGCCAGCAGCCAGCCAGCCAGCCAGCCAGCCAGAGCCAGCGCAGCCAGCCAGCAGCTGTGCTGAGCGCCAGCCAGCTGTGCCAGCCAGCCAGCCAGCCAGCCAGCTGGTGCCAGCCACAGCCAGCCAGCCAGCCAGCCAGCCAGCCAGCCAGCCAGCCAGCCAGCCAGCCAGCCAGCCAGCCAGCCAGCCAGCCAGCCAGCCAGCTGAGCCAGCCAGCCAGCCAGCCAGCTGCCTGCTCAGCCAGCTGTGCCAGCTTGCAGAGCCAGCCTGAGCAAAGCAGCAGCCAGCCAGCCAGCCAGCCAGCCAGCGCAGCAGCCAGCAGCAGGCCAGCACTGCCAGCAGCGCCAGCCAGCCAGCCAGCAGCTTGTGCCAGCCAGCCAGCCAGCCAGGCCAGCCAGCCAGGCCAGGCCAGCCGCAGGCCAGGCCAGCTGCCAGCCAGCCTAGCCAGCCAGCCAGCCAGCCAGGCCAGGCCAGCCAGCCAGGCCAGCCAGGCCAGCCAGCCAGCCAGCCAGGCCAGCCTGCCAGCCAGGCCAGGCCAGTGCCAGCCAGGCCAGCCTGCCAGCCAGGCTAGCCAGCCAGGCTGCCAGGCTCAGCCAGGCTCGAAGCCAGCCTGTGCCAGGCCAGCCAGCCAGGCCAGCCAGCCAGGCCAGGCCAGGCCAGGCTAACAGGTTGCCAGCCTGCGCCAGCCAGGCCAGCCACGCCAGCCAAAAGCCAGGCCAGCCAGCCCAGGCCAGGCTGAAAACAGGCCACCAGGCCAGCCTCGCCAGCCAGCCAGGTGCCAGCCATCGCCAGCCAGGCCAGGCGAACAAGCCAGGCCACTTGAAAGGTGCCAGCCGAAACAGCCAGCCAGCCTACCAGAAAAACAGCCTGTGCCAGGCCAGCCAGCCTCAGGCCAGCCACGCCAGCCTCCGCCAGCCTGCGCTTCAGCCTAGCCAGCCAGCCTCGCCAGCCGCCAGGCCAGGCCGCCAGCCAGGTTGAGCCAGCCATGCCAGCCAGCCAGCCAGGCCAGGTTGGTTGCGCTGCGTTGTAAGCCAGGTAACAGCCAGGCCAGCCAACAGGCGCAGGCCAGGCCAGCCAGGCCAGGCCAGGCCAGCCAGCCAGGCCAGCCAGCCAGGGGTTGCGTCAGGTCAGGCCAGGCCAGGCCAGGCCAGGCCAGGCTGTGGCCCAGGCTAGCTAGCTAGCAGTAGCCAGGCCAGGCCAGCCAGCTAGGCCAGGCTAGCAGGCCAGGCTAGGCCAGGCTAGCAGGCCAGGAACCAGGCCAGGCAGGTAAGAAAGGCAGGCTGAAAGGCCAGAGCCAGGCCAGGCCAGGCCAGGCCAGCCAGGCCAGGCCAGGCTAGCCAGGCCAGCCAGCCAGGCTAGGCCAGCCAGCCAGCCAGGCCAGGCTAGCCAGGCCAGGCCAGGCTAAAAATAGGCTAGGCTAGAAAAGCCAGGCCAGCCAGGCCAGGCCAGGCCAGGCCAGGCCAGGCCAGGCCAGGCCAGCCGGTGCCAGGCCAGGCCAGGCCCAGGCCAGGCCAGGCCACAGGCTGAGGCCAGGCCAGGCTTGTGCCAGGCCAGCCAGGCTTGTGCCAGGCTGTGCTGTGCCAGGCCAGCCAGGCCAGGCCCAGGCCAGGCCTGTGCCAGGCCAGCCAGGCCAGGCCAGGCCAGGCCAGGCCGCTGGTGCCAGGCCAGGCCAGGCCAGGCCAGGCCAGGCCAGGCCAGGCCAGGCCAGGCTGAAACACAGGCCAGGCTGTGCCAGGCCAGCCAGGCTGCGCCAGGCCAGGCCAGCCAGGCTGGTGCCAGCTGCGCTGGTGCTGTGCTGCGCTGGTGCTGTGCCAGCCAGGCCGGTGCTGTGCTGCCGGTGCTGTGCCGGTGGTGCTGTGCCAGGCCGGTGCCAGGCTGGTGTGCTGTGCCAGCCGTGCCAGGCCAGTGCCAGCTGTGCCGTGCCAGGCCAGGCCAGGCCAGGCCAGCGTGCTGTGCCGTGCCAGTTGTGCTGTGCTGTGCCAGGTTGTGCTGCCAGGCCAGGGGTTAGAAGAAAAGCCAGGGCTGAAAGGTGCTGTGCCAGGCCAGCTGGTGTTGTGCTGTGCTGCCAGGCCAGGCCAGGCTGGTGCTGGTGCTGGTGCTGTGCTGGTGCTGGCCAGGCTGGTACAGTTGTGCCAGGTTGTGCCAGGCCAGCCAGGCTAATAGTTAAAGTTAGGCCAGGCCAGGGGAAGAAGAAAGCCAGGTTGAAAGGTTGTGCCAGTTGTGCTGTGTTGTGCTGTGTTGAAATGGCCAGGCCAGGCCAGGTCAGGCCAGGCCAGGCTGGTGCTGTGCTGGTACAGCCAGGCCAGGCCAGGCCGTGCTGTACAGGCCAGGCTGGTGCTTGCGCTGGTGCTGGTGCTGGTGCCAGGCCAGGCCAGGCCGCCAGGCTGGTGCCAGGCCAGGCCAGGCCAGGCCAGGCCAGGCTGTGCCAGGCCAGTGCTGTGCCAGCCAGCCAGGCCAGCTGTGCCAGGCTTGTGCCAGGCCAGCCGTGCTGTGCCAGGCCAGGCCAGGCTGGTGCTGGTGCCAGGCTGTGCTGTGCCAGGCCAGGCCATACCAAGATCGTGGCCAGGCTGGTGTTGTGCTGTGCTGGTGCTGGTGTGCCTGGGAAGCCAGGCCAGGCCAGCCAGGCTGTGCTGTGCTGTGCCAGGCCAGGCCAGGCCAGGCCAGGCCAGGCCAGGCTGGTGCTGTGCTGGTGCTGGTGCTGGTGCTGGTGCTGGTGCTCAGGCCAGGCCAGGCCAGGTTGTGCTGAAGTTGTGCCAGGTTGGTGCTGGTGCTGTGCTGTGCCAGGCTATGCTGGTGTTGCGGGTTGTGCTGGTGCTGAAGCCAGGGCCAGGCCAGGCCAGGGCCAGGCCAGGCAGCCAGGCCAGGGGCCAGCCAGGCCAGCCTAAAGCCAGTCAGCCAGGCCAGGCCAGGCTACGGTGGCCAGGCCAGCCAGGCCAGGCCTGGTGCCAGCCAGGCCAGGCCAACAGGCCAGGCCAGGGGCTGGTGCTGTGCCAGGCCAGGCCAGGGGCAGTTGTGCTGTGCTGTGCCAGGCCAGGCTGTGCCAGGCCAGGGCCAGGCCAGGCCAGGCAAGCCAGTTGTGCCAGGCCAGGTTGGTGCTGTGCTGGTGCTGGTGCTGCTGGTGCTGGAAGCAGGCTGTGCCAGGCTGTGCCAGCTGTGCTTGCTGGTGCCAGGCTGGTAAGCAGTTGGTGCTAGGCTAAAGCAGGCTGTGCTGTGCTGCAGGTTGTGGGTTGTGCTGTGCTGAAAGCCAGGCCAGGCCAGGCTTGGTGCTGTACAGCCAGGCCAGAAGAAGCTGTGCTGTGCTGTGCCAGGCCAGGGCTGAAGCAGTTGTGCCAGGCCAGCCAGGTTGTGCTGAGAAAGCAGGGTTGCGTTGGTGCCAGGCTGGTGCTGTGCCAGGCCAGGCTGGTGCTTGTGCTGTGCCAGGCTTGTGCTGTGCTGTGCCAGGCCAGGCTGTGCTGGTGCTGGTGCCAGGCTGGTGCTGTGCCAGGCCAGGCCAGGCCAGCCAGGCCAGTTGGTGCCAGGCCAGGCCAGGCCAGGCCAGGTGCCAGGCCAGGCTGTGCTGGTGCTTGCGCTGGTGCTGGTGCCAGGCCAGGCTGGTGCCAGGCCTGCGCCAGCGTGCCAGGGCCAGGCCAGGCCACAGGCCAGGCGCTGCGGCCAGGCCAGGCCAGTGCCAGCCAGGCCAGGCCAGGCCAGGCCAGGGCCAGGCCAGGGCCAGGCCAGGCTGTGCTGTGCTGCGGTTGTGCTTAGGCTTGTACCAGGCGCCAGGCCAGGCCAGGTGCTGGTGCTGTGCCAGGCCAGGCTGAAAATAGCTGTGCTGTGCTGTGCTGTGCTGGTGCTGGTGCTGGTGCTTGAAGCCAGGCCAGGCTGTGCTGGTGCTGTGCCAGGCCAGGCCAGGCTGAAACAGGCCAGGCCAGCCAGGCCAGGCCAGGCCAGGCCAGGCCAGGCCAGGCTGGTGCTTGTGCTGTGCTGTGCTGCGTCAGGCCAGGCCAGGCCAGGCCAGTGCTGTGCTGAAGCCAGGGTTGTGCCAGGTTAGGCCAGGCCAGGAAGCCAGGCTGTGCTGGTGCTGGTGCTGGTGCCAGGCCGTGCCAGGCCAGGCCAGGCTGAAGCCAGGCTGGTGCCAGCCGGTGCTGTGCTGCCAGGCCATTGTGCCAGGCCACAGGCCAGGGCCAGGCCAGGCCAGCCAGTGCTGGTGCCAGGCCAGGCTGTGCCAGGCTACAGCCAGCCAGCCAGCCAGGCCAGGGCCAGGCTGGTGCTGGTGCTGGTGCTGGTGCTGGTGCCGTGCTTGCGCCAGCCAGTGCTGCGCCAGGCCAGGCCAGGCCAGGCCAGGCCAGGCCATGCCAGGCCAGGCTGGTGGCTGGTGCCAGGCCAGGCTGGTGCCAGCCAGGCCAGCTGTGCCAGGCCAGGCTGTGCTGGTGCTTGTGCTGTGCCAGGCTGTGCCGTGCTGGTGCCAGGCCAGGCCAGGCTTGCGCTGGTGCTGTGCCAGGCCAGGCCAGGGTTGTGCTGGTGCTGGTGCTGTGCTGTGCTGAGGCCAGGCCAGCCAGGCCAGGCCAGGCTGTGCTGGGCGGCTGGCCAGGCCAGGCCAGGCCAGGCCAGGCCAGGCCAGGCCAGGCCAGGCCACCAGGCCAGCCGGGCCAGGCCAGGGCCAGGCCAGGCTGGTGCTGGTGGCCAGGCCAGGCCAGGCCAGCCAGGCTTGCGCCAGGCTGCGCCTGGTGCCAGGCCAGGCCAGGCCAGGCCAGGCTGTGCCAGGCCA